GTATGTATGTATATATATATATATACCGCCCACAATAACAGCGGTGACTTAAAGCTCAACACAAACACGAAAAACAGTGATTCATTGTATTAAATTTTCGAATTTACAGACGTGAATGGTACTATGAAAGTTCAGGGAAGGCACAAATAAAAATATTGGGCCAATTCAACAGTACGAGCCGGTGATCGATCTATGTTGCTATTGAGATTAGTGAGGTCAAATCCGTGAACGGATGTGTTTTTCACCTCGACGGTCGGTGACGCTTGTCGACCCGAGGTTTTCCGAGCGCACTAGATGATCCAATGACAACCAATAGAAATATTACCTGAATATACACGTAATCTCAGACTACCAGATGACCCACGATCCTTCCCCTTAAAAGGACGGGAGTGATATCATTCTAGGTTGTCGTCGGTTGATCGTCTTAGTTAGTCGTCGGTGTCTATTCGCATGTGTCACCGGCCTAAGCTCGAGGTTGTCATGTAGCAACCAACTTATGTCAACATATTTCACTGTATCTACCGATTTAAATCTTTACAGTAAATGATTTATGTTTTAAATACAAATAAAACTTGTGTCAAAGACGAATGACTTGACAAAAAATACTGTACGAGTTTGGTTATTACAAATGGCGAATCACTCACTCATTGCAAGTGATATACCGCATATAAAAGCAATAGAATATGTGTTTGCATCTCATATGTGAACATGGTAAACAAGAAAACTAATGACCAGCATGTAGCTAGTGTTATGTATTGCGAACATAAATACGGGTCATCGCGTGGTATGAGGTCTGAGCTGAAAACTAATTATCTTGTTTTCATGAGAGTGTGTTTGCTATGCACATATGTCAATTATCCACGGCCTCGCTTTCATATTATATCAAAATATATTCTATTGGTCCAATTGAAATACATATGCAATGTCGTTGGTTGAAGCTGTATGACCCGTGTCACCGTACTCGCCGGGTTACTGCATACATTTCTGAGCAACAATTATTGAAGCGTTTTTTTACAACTTAAACGACACTAGTAGAATGACAACAAAGAAAGGAGTACGTGATCTATAAATGATATACACATATTCAATCACATCGTGATACAATATTTTCAATGTGTTCTTATCTCGATTTGAAGTCTTAACATGTACTGTATTCTATACATTTAGTGTTTATGGCATGAATCAGTTGCACGCCATCTAGTTGCTAGTCATGATTTATACATGTATGCATACAAGTGTCCACGACGTGAATAAAGATGAATAAATAAACTAGGGACTAAATCACTAAGGTTTTAGTTTGGTGCACTTCTCAGTGGCGGATTAACGTGAATGTTACGCAAAATAATCTTATGCAAATATGTCAGTATGACGTCATTACAATAATTATATTGCGTACCCGTACAACTATATTTGTTGTTGGGTTTTGTGTGTACGTTTTCAACCCGGAAATTACCACGTAGCTGTGAATACACTGTTACATGTATAGGCCCCATATTGTAATGGGACAATAATAACTTACACCAAATTCGCATTCTTACTGGTCCGACCAAATATATATTTTGTATTCAATGTAATTGCCCGCGGCCATTTTGCTTTCTGAATCTCTAATAAACCTGTTTTGACCTTAACACTATACTCGTATTCGTCTCCGAGCATGTCACACTTGACCTTCAATCACGTGATAAAACCAAGTACATATTCCATCATAATAAGGTACCGGTGGAGATATATTTTAAATATATTATATATATATAACAATACTACCTTCTCGCTTAAGACGATAGTGTATATGACAGTCGTATATGAACAATATTGACGAGGATTGGGCGTTTTTCCGTAATGACTATGAGAATGAGGCTGATTTTTACTAGAAGATAAGGCGACGGGAATAGAAGTACTGGTTGTAAACGATATACACATTTTCAGTTACGTCGTATTAATGGAAACTGGTGTGATGCCACGTACCTTAAAATGTTCTTGACTCGATTAGATATCACGTCTTACCCTGTACAGTATCTATTCAGGTCTTCGTCACATATGCATTGATAATGAGTACAACATGATAATCCTGTCGTGTCAGTAACGCATGCCGGTGATCTACTGTGCATATGGCCCGGTGCGATCATAACTCTTTGTCGTCAATGATGACAACTCATTTAAATAACATGCGGGTACCCTTCGTATTTTTAGTGATCTATTAAGGAACTTTCCTTTTTTGGATTCGAATGAAATCACCAACAGCTTCTTGAGATCTTAACAGAACTTGAAACCGTTTACGCCTTACTGAAAAAGACGATAATGATTAATTATTTAACAAACATAATAAAATAATAATCTAGGTATTTACATCTATGCAAATAACGCACAGGAACCACTTAAACAAATGTAAGCTCAGTCGATCATTTTAGGTCGTGTGTTTTTAGCGTATAATTTTTATACCGGCAAATATATATTATGCTTTCCCTGCACGTGGATGACTATATTTATGTAATTTGCTATAGTGTTGTCGATAATTCCATCTAAAAGACTGGTTGGTATTTGAAAATGTCATTGTTCTCCGTGAAATAAACCACGGAGTGAATGCATTGTTCGAGCGACATGGCTGAAAATGGCGTAAAGGAATAACGAGAACGACAAGGAATGTAAAAAACGAATACCACTTAAAATAATGAATATGAAAAGAAAATTTGGATTTGAAGAAAAACGTTTAAAGGGAGGTAGTCGTCGCGCAGCGCGTGATCGAATTTCATGTAAACAAACAATGTATTTTACACGCGTTGTATACGTCGCTATGAGTCCCTTGTCGAACAGGACGCGGCGTGCCGACCACCGAATCAACTCTAGGGGGCGTCCATTTACACAACACAACATTTTTGGGTAAAATATTAAGTAAAATCTTAAATTGAAATTCTCCTAGTTTGATGTCAATTGTAAGACAAAATGGCATTGAATAGATTGGCTCCAAACAATCTATGTCTACATTCAGCGAGTTAACAAAAACAATTTCTGATCTGGCAGTAATAAAATTATAATCCACAATAGATTTGGATATATTCCTCTTATTACAATCGTTAATATTAATGCTAGTAGTACAAATGTTGTTTTTTTGGACCAAATAATAATAATAATAATAATAAATGAAGACAGAAAAACCTTATATATTTATCATACATATCATTGTTTTGTGTAACAATGTCGTTATCTTCATACTGTACGACACAAGTCTCACAAATGGTAAGTAATGGTTCATATACTAACTAAGCATATTTGACCTTTTGACCTTTGACATCGTAAGTCACAATATCAAATAAAACAATATCTCAGATGATGGAGGTTTACATCGTTAGAATAGAATTTGGATATTTTCAGGTGTCAGTGTTATAAAACCACACATACGACAGACTTGATTTCTAAATTTCTGTGAATGCCACGCGACGAATTGAATTGATTTTAAAATTAGTTTCATGTGACTACTACATCCCTGTGACCATGAATGTATTGCCTACCCTAGAATCGACATTTCCTAATCGTATGAGGGTACAATCTGATGTAGATACGTGTTTTAATGGTCATTATTCATACGAGAAACGGGGGGTACGATGTCTTGAATACTCGCTTAAGGATTCATGTCTTAGTTTATGCATTTTCAAGCAACAAAGCGGATATATAGGGTAAACGAGATAACACATTCGTAATCTGACATTATCACTCGTGTGGCATCGTATATGTTCTCAATAATTTTGCACAATGGCTGTCAACCCCATATGCACGTAATGTGTGACACCCACCCGTGAAAGCGCACCCCTATACTGTATAAATGGTTTGTCCCTAGCGACGAGCAATTATCGAACAGCGTCGCATGCGCAGAGCAAAAATACAATTAAAGACTGAGGCTACACTCACAAAGACATAAGTATAATATACTCATTATTAATGCATGCATGACCTGAATACAGTACATTTTGAGATGTAAAATCTTATCGAGACGAAAACACATTAAGGTACGTAACGAAATGGCTTTTCTATTATATTATATTACGATGTAACTCAGGGTTTGAATATCGCTTACGTCCAGCAGTCTCCTTTGACAATCTGCTGATGAAGTTCTGCCTCGGTCTCACGTAGTCCTTGCAGTATAATGTTATTTTCTCTAGAGACAACATCCGATCATGGTTAATGTTGCATAACAATAATCGAAGGTGATATTATTATTCATGATATATCAAAATATTGCTACAACCGGAACTATGATATGAAAGAATAATACCACTTGACGTTAGAAGGCCAAGTTAGACATGCGTGGAAACTGGAGATATAGATAAATTTATAGGTCAATTACGCGTACAGTGATCGGAGATTCAGACACCAACATGGCGAGTGTGTTCACTTGGCCATGTGCATTTATTTCGCGACATTGATTGTATTAAATACGCGTTCGAAAGAACAAGAACCTGAGTTTAGTGTAATTTAAAGTCAGCAAAAATAATATAGTCACAGCTACATCGTATTTACCGGGAAGATAAACGTACCATGGTAAATACCGCACTGTCTATTATCAGATATTGGAGAGTGGTTATATTACTAACATCTGGTTCGCATGATCATCCGTATGAATGTTTCATTCTCTGCACGTATTCACTTCGAGACCTGCATGGAATAAATAGATTGTGATTCAAATAATAAACTATTTCATTACTGTAAATCATTATTTTGGAGCCAAAAATAAACAAATAAATGAGGTCGTCAGTAATTACATAAATAATAATTAGTATTTATGTTCCTCAATTAATCCCAGACAGGTTTCAGTGAAGGATTTTAAACTGAAACTTGTCTTATACACCCCGCGGTTTATATTAAATGTTAGTCTATAAGTAGTGGTCTTTTTACAGTTTTTTTCTTGACCTATATATGACCTTCGATACGATACACCACACTATTTTAAACAGGTTGAGTTTGATTTAACAAACAGAAAGCAATTAGTCAATATAATTGGTTAAATAACAGATTTTATGGATATATTTTGTAGTGTTCCCCAGGGCAGCATCCCTGGCCCGCTACTATTGTTATACTATCACCATGGCAACACCATAAACTTCACATGGAGGCGTACGTCCTGACAGATTTTACATCTCATCTTAAATTTCAACGAATCGTAAAACAGTTCCACGTGTGCACAGTGTTTGCGTGTCTGGCATAATGATCATAACAGCGTGTGGCAAAGATGTAAAGCGACAAACAATATTATTTCTTTTTTAAGTTAATACGCGTACCAATGAACAGCATGGTTGCTTGTACAACTCAGTTGGTAATTTAATTAATGATTTGACTGCTTGAGAACTTTACAATTGATGCGCGGGAGCTTAGCTACCACAGAGCTTCTGGTATGTCCTTCGAACTAAGGGGTGTCAACCAGAAAATTCAATATAACAGTACTTTGGGCGCAAATAGACGACCTTATTCTTAT